CCAGAGAAGAGGATAATTAAACACAGACTCTACCTGATTTATTAAGGCAGGGAGTAATGGGAAGTATGAAATCTCAAGCCTGCCAAAGGCTTCCCTTGATTCTCAGCTCTCCTGTCTGCAGCTGCAGGGCCAGAACATGTATATTGTGTTTGCCTCAAAGAGAGGTTGGAGCGCCAAGTTCAAAAATATCTGTAGATGTCTTGGAAAGCAGTGGTGAGAAAAAGGCCCAAGTGCGATGCATCATCTGCTCACCGAGAACCTCTGCAGTGTTAGATAGCTTTGAAGCTGTCCATGAGAATCCGACAGGTTATACTAAGGAAGCACTCTAGAGAAAGCCTGTATGCTTATGTAACAGTATCAAATATAAACATATTATTAGCACATTTATTTGAGATAATGAAGTTGAAAATGTAACGTGGGGTGGAGGCATGGTCAATGCTCGCTTCAATGGAGAAACATGAACTGGCAAATATTCCTTCCCCCGGACTGATGTATGACCCACAGCAGTGCATGGCAAAGGGAAAAATGCTGGGTGGGTCTTTGGTTTAATGTATTTCAAGTTTACAGATGTACATGTTCTGTGTATTTGGGATTTTTATATGCAGGTAATACAATAATTCACCATTGCATTCAGTAGCATAAAGAGTAGAGTTTGCTGAAGAGGAATCAAGCAGACAGTACACGTTCTCAGCTCATCTCCAGTGGGCCTGAGCCAACCTTCTGCCCGGCAATAGCTGGGCATTGCATGGCGAGGCGGACTGATACCTTATTATTATACGTTCCACCTGGAAGGTCCCCCGTTCAGATGGAAGCACTTTTGGACACTGATGGCCAAACCAAGACAGCCTTGCTGCGTAAGATGATCTGGCAACTCAAACAGCAATTGCTGGGGCGGGAGTTGAACAGAGCTGATCAAGAACTTGCATGACAGACCTGACAAGAAGGTTACAAAAGGCAATCCCTTATGAGTCATCTCCCAGCAGACTTTTCTAGAGTAGGGCAGTGGGTTTAATACAGAGGCTTCTGGTGTACTTATAGGGGGGAACTAAAAGTAATGAGGGGAGAAAATCCTATTATCAGTAAATTTAAACTGTCTACACAGGGTCTAGGCCTCAGGCGCTTGCTGCTTTCTGAATGATCTGTCACTTCTCCTAAGATGTCTGGATCAAGTATGAGGTTTAGAACCCATTTTGCAAAACATGCATATCTTTGTTTTAATTATATTGTACTCTTCTGGAGGCAAACTGTGACTCACAGGTGACTTGTAAACTATAAGGAAGGGCCTCTGAGAAGAGTTAGGAAAAACCAAATAAAAAAAAACTCAACCCCAAACACTGAAAAGAAAGAAATAAAAGCAAATTGCTCTTGTGCAGGGTGCAACAGCACCATAACCATGGTCCCAGGGAAGAAAGCTGCTTTTTCACCTCTGTCAACCCTTCACGAAAGGAAAGGTTCTCATTTTCATGGACCTTGCTCTATACAGCTGCTAGTGGTTTGTGGGCTGGACATTACAGGAGGTCCCCTCTTCACCTGAAATCAGTCCATGTTAAAAATATGCTATGGTGGTGATAGGTCCACACTTTGTGAAAATGTTTATAATTCACATCAAATTGATGTACAAAGCAATGTGCCTAGAGGGAACAGATAGATGGTCAAAAAGACAATGGCCAAAATTAAGAAAATTCTACCTTTTTTTCTGTACTTCTTTCTTTTTATTATTCACCAGTCTGCAAATTTCCTATGTTCTTTATCTTAAATATTTTTGTTCACAAGCAAAACAAAAATTATGTTTGTTACAGGACACAGTTTCAAAACTCCCCTGTCTCCTTTATTCCTAAACACTGTAAATATACCCTGGTATATTTATATGCAATGATAGCAACCCTAGATCAGTGGTTAAAAATAAACCAAATAGGCATTGCAGTGTGTGCGTGCATAACAGACATACCAATCTATAGTAGGGGCTAAAGAGATGACATTAGGGGAATACTGTCCGTTATATTTGTTTGGTTTTATCCGAATTGTTAAAGCAAGAGGTGCAGGTTATGTAAAGTTTAGTTTAGGTTCTTTATTTTTAAATAAATGCAATGGTAATTACCGATGAAGCAACTAGACACAGTCCCACATTACGCTCCAGATGAAAGGGTGACCGCTTTTTTCCAAGGGCAGGCACACATCTAGCTATCCCCATTTTGACCACATCCAGTCACACTCCAAAAGCATCACCTACCTAGTTAAAGATGCCCCTTACCCTCTGCCATCCCCCTCTCGGAACCCGTTTTCGTTCTGTTGAAATCTGTGTCTAAATGGCAACAGATTCGCAGATGGACAGGAGCCGTATGCATTCCCAGGTCCTTTGAAAAGCAGATGGCGTTAAGGTACCATCCTGAAGACAACAGATGTTTACAGTAGCTACAGGGGAAATGTGCCTATATGCATTAAGGGAAAGGCAAGAATAAGCAAAAAAATCAAAAGCTTTTTAGTTTGTTAATTGCATATTGGTGGATCTCTGTCTCTCATTATCTCTTAAATTCTCGTGTGACAAATATTTTAGGTTTACTGCTGCATTTTCCCTTATACACTGAAGAACTCTGAATTTTTATAACAAAAGGAGAACAGCTGCATCATTAACAGAAAAAGTCTAGATTTGCTTGCAGTAGGTAAAGCAGAGACTGCAGGAGATGGCATACAGCAGACGAGATAGAATAAAGGCACGAAGTTTATTTTGCTTACAAACCCAAACATCAAGTGATTTCTAGTCATATACCAAAGGACGTAAGAGCAGAATGGGCAACAATGAGAGTTTTTGTGGATTTTGAAACAGCATAAGTCAAATACTTAAAAATCAGCATTTCAGCTGCTGGAAAGTTGCCTATGTGACAGTAGGTGCTAGGAAATTTGCCCATCCGTGAGCTCAGCAGCAAAGACAAGCTCCTGGTGCACATGGGGGTTTAAGGAGATGCAAGCTCACACAGGAAGGGTCCAGGTCCCACAGGTGCTATTGCGATAAATTATTTATGTATGAATACAGCATTGATGATATTGCATGCATTTGAAACACAGCAAATATATCCCTCAACATTGATGTCTCCGTGGCCCCTGGAAAGGAACATATAATCCAGGGGGCTGTTTCTCTGAGTAAATTGCCTCCCTGACTCCTCTAGAGGGCTCCTGCTTAGGGCCATACACCTCCTACGGCAGAATAGCCAAGGAGTATTTCTGGTCCCACTAAAAGCACGTACTGTGTGGCCTGGCAGCAGAGAAAGATGGAAAAAACCAACTGTGTAAGTCCATGTATTTTTCAATAGCAACAGCCCTACAACAACTTTAGCAGGGTATCTCCAAACGAAAAGAAAGCATATAGAGGGCAACTGCAACAGAGAAATTGAATTGTAACTGAGAAACCCATGATAAAAAGATCTGAGGAGTTTTCACTGAATTATTCAATATAAGGGTAAGCAAACCACACTTTATTGGCAGGTCACTGTTCAATTAACCTTTACAAATAGATGCATTTAATAGATTTGTTCTGTTTATATAAATGTTAACATAAGACAGGTTAATACATTGTCTGAATTAAAGGGCTAAACTGCTCCAGCTGAAGGTATTTGGTAAATGACTGGTACAGCAATACACATAGTTATTAAATGCCCTAAAATTAGACCAGCCAGATTAAAAATGTACCGATAGAAAGATTGCCTGTGAATTTCAAATTATGTTAGTTAATATTTACGATTTCAGTGACTAAATAAATGGCCCCAAAGTTTTATGCTATTTTAACCTGCCTGTCCCTATCTCAGATAGCATTTACATTTATATTTAACTTCCTTTTAATGCTGAACAGCCTAAATAATTATTCTAGCAGCAGGCAAATGCCTAAAAATGCAGCAGTGACTTCTAGTGGGAGTGTTAAATCCTTCTCAAAATAATTCAGATATACCTTAATTTCCACTGGGCAATAAGGTGACAGAACTTGCGTTCACAGTGAATACAAACTGATCTAAACCTGCTGTGTATAAACAGTCAACAAAACTTCATTTGGAAGCTGAGAAAAATTAGGCTTTTTTCCCTGTTACTCCGCACCAACGTTTCAATTTTCAACTGAGTCATGGAATTTGGGGCACAAAAGTACCGTATTAATGACAAGACAGAGGCAGGCAGTATTGGAAACCTTCCAAGGGTAGTTGTGTTAGCAGCCCAGCCAACTCAGTTTTATATATGCCTAAGTATTTGTGGTCTAAACACAAATACTTAAAGGGGCTTTTAGTGAAAGGTGCCCACGCTGGTAACCACACACCAAATTATCTCTAGGTAAAGACACAGACTTGTGCATTATACAGGAAGACCAAGTGCTCCAGTACAACTCTGATAAAGGTGGGAATAAACTAGTACAGAAGAGTGATCCCAGAAGTGTGTTTCCCCAGTATAGAAAAAACTAGGCTTTGAGCACTAATTCACGTAACTCACTCATCAGTAGTAGCTCCTCCATCACAATGGTCTTAGCTGGATCTGAACTGAAGATTCCATTTCTCCTACCATTTTGTCAAGCCAGTTTCCCTTCCTGTGCAGAAATCCTGGAAACAGAAACCACTCGTCCCTTTCAGGTGTGTAGTTTAAGGAACAATAATGAAAACTATGTGCTGGAAGACATAACCGATGCATCACATTCTCTCCCAGGTGCTAGTCTTTGATTACTCCATTCCAAATGTCAATTACTTGTCAAAAAGTACCAAAAACGTTTGTCAAGTTATGGAATAGTTTTAAAATGCCAAATTATTTGTTCAGCTGACTCGTTGCTGACTACGGCCTGCAACAGCCTGGTCTTCTCCCATGGACAGGCAAGATTTTAATATGTGTTCTGCAGGAAGCACAGCACGTTGGTCAAAAGGGCACTTTGACTTCAAGCCCAGAAAATGGCTTCTTCCTAAGCGCCTACTAACACCAGAACTCTGCTTGCTTTATGGCCAAAAGCAGCTCGAACCTATAGCATCTAAACCCCTTCAGGTGGAGCTATATATTTTTATTGAATGATCACCACTGTCTAAAACAACGAGGGAATTGTTTGCCATGTAAGTCAGCCCTACAGGGTAGGAAAGCCCATGGCTAATCAGAGGGGTAAAAATGGGAAACTCCTCAGGTTTCCCTAAGCATATTACAGCCTGGCTGCAGACATCCGTTACTATAACACGTCCTTCTTTGTCAAAGGCCACAGCTGTAGCATATATTTTGGAGGGGAAAACAAGGTTCAGACCGAAGCTATCCATCTGGCCAACGAGATCCATTTCTGCACTGAATATCTTCACTCGGCTGCTGCTGTTGTTCGGTCCCTGAGTTTTCAGGTGCTCTATTACCACGATGGCACCCGAGGTCTGGGAGACTGCAACCCCTCTTGGGCTGATGAGTTGAGACCAGATCATCTGACACTTCTTCAATTTCCCCTTCTGGAAGTTGGCCGTCAAGCGGTACAGAGCACCTGCCTCCGTGTCGGTCAGGATTACTTCACTCTCAGTGGTGGCATCCAAGCCCCAGGGCAAACGGAATCCTTCCCGGACAGCCAGGACCCCCCTCCCCTCGAAATCAAAGGCCTTCACG